AAGTTTAACAGTCTTGGCTCAAGGAGTTTAAATAATAAGTTGATGAATTGGATATATAATTTGCATTTACGAATCTTTATTTATTCCTGGAGTTTCACATTTGATCATATCTCATGATATTGGATTAAGTTCTCATTAACCTTTTTCAAATAAGAGCTTGGTAACACAAAATTGGAATTACTTAAATTTTCAAAATTTGCATGCCAATGGAATCGAAAAGTACTATTACGAAGGATTTCTCGTCCTCTTAGAATTTTCGGACTTAATGGGCGCCTGACCTAACGCAATTGGACGAGTCTACACCCTACAGCCAACAACTTTGAGTCCTGCAAACGTGTTTATTAAATATTCATGAAAAACTTGAATCTATATTCTTCACCAAATCAGTATATATTCAAAAGATTGTATTCAAAACCACCTGTGCTGTGGATTGAGTTTCTCTATATTATCTAAAACAAATCGACTGTAATTTTCGATGACATTTGAAGGCGTGTATGTTGATTGTCACAAAGATATTCAAATCATGGCTTTCGAGGTTTTCAATAAGAGACCGCACCCCAATTTTGTTCAGCAATTCATGCTCAGCAAGTTGTAAGTTAAAAAGTATCATACAGTATATGACATTTGTTTTAACTTACTAATTTCTATGAACTTTCAAAATGAACGCAGTTGATCTTAATTACCTGAAACTTATTTCAGAGGACTAGCTAGTACTACACTTGACTCCCTTGTGTTCTAGAAAAAATGACCATTAATTACAACTGAAGAATAGGATTTCTCCAGCATGGACATGGAGATTAGAAGCAAAGAGGAGAGACAAAAGATGAAAAGAGAAAAAGGTAGGAGAAGACAACGGAGAGCCTTTCCAATGCCAGCCCGATCTACCTCTTGCTCAATGTATTGTCTGCATCCAAATGTGACAACCCACTCGTGAGCCTCATTGTAGCTAGGGACCATATATATGGGCAAATACAATAGCATCGAGCATAGACTAATAATGGAACATAAATTATACACACATTCATGCAAATATGTTATATTTAATGCAGGGATGGGTTGCTTTCAATGTTCGTGCATGCACAGAACGCAAATTCTTCCTTCTTGTAGCTTTCGTGATTATTCAATTACAGAAGGGGGTTCACCAAACAAGAAGCTGTGACGACAATGGTCAACGACAGAATTCTGCTATGTATGTGGCAATAATTCCTACCACCTTCATGTGGCGTTGTTTTTTGTTGTTGTGAAAATTTACATGGTCGTGTTTTAATTAGGAGTTTGGAGAAGGAGAAGCCATGATGAGGACAAATTGAGTGGGTCTTATTGAGTTGATGGAAATGGAATTTCTTAAGAAATGGTACCAAGTACAGCATTAATCATTGTCGACAACTAACAATGCATGTGGTACTTTGGTGAAAATTAATTTCATTCTCCTAGCTACCAACCAGTCGGTTTGTTGATTCTATTTATTATGGTGCTTGTTAATTTGAGCATGATGATTAGTATGATCTTGATATGATAATTGATGATGATCATCATCGGATGTACTAATTATGATTAGGGGAGGTGACTAATGAATCTTCTAGCGGCATTTAGATTACACTTTCTCATTCTGGTTGTCGAAGTTAGGACGCATGCACAGCTTTAATTTGAGTAATGGGCTCGAGAGAAACATTTGTGGAACTCTAAAAAAGCTATGGAAATCTACCTTGAAGTGGCATTATCCAATCAAGCGCAGGTACATTTAAGAGAAAAGAAATGGTCAAAGACTCAAAAAATTTATTTCTATTTGTTGAATGTTCAGCAATAAATTTCTGTCTTTTTCTTTAACTTATGGTCGGATGATGTGCATCATAACTTTGTGTTACGGTCCAATTGTTAACTAACTCATAGTATACATTATACGTAGAGAGGAAGTGTAAGCGAAAAATTTCGAATTCGAAATCGACCGACTATGCTGAAAAAAACTCATATTGTGTGATTTACCTACTAGATAAAGTATGTATAATACTATACCGTTGTGACTATAGGTTGAGAGACTATAGGTTCAAACGTTAGATCTAAAAAATTTACATGCACTCCAAAAATCAAAAGCCTACGTAATAGCATGCTCTTTTCTCTAGAGAAAAATTTCTATCTGATTGAAAAAAAAAGTTTGTTTAGATAATTTATTATTTGCATAATTTTATTTATTTGCATCATATATATATATATTTCAATCACTTTTCTCTTTCTCATATATATTATATTAAAAAATGATATGATATTTAAAAAAAAAAGATTTTCCCAAATAATCTCCAATCAAAATGCACCCATTGTTAACATTAGCAAATTCGTGGGTTTAATAGCACAAAGTCAGCCAGGCTAGTTGGATGGACAATGTTGAAGTGCAGCCCAAATAGACCGTAGTCTTTCACATTTCCTAATCTGGGTTGCGTAGTGGGCTTGAATAGACTTTTTGTATGGGCTTGTTTGGGTATACCCTTTTTTTCTTTTTCTTTTTTTTTTCTCTTGGTGTATTTGTTGACAATTCCATCAACAGTTACTAGCTGAAAGATAAAGAGTATTATAACAGAAAAATTCCCTTATGGGGCAATTTATGAGTCAAAGAATAAACTATCAGTTTGGCTAATTGGTGCTTATGGCACTCGTTAAGACTTAAGAGGGATCATATTAGTTAATTTTGTCAATAAAGTATAGTGAATTTGAGAAAACATCTAAATGTAGGGGACACAAATAATTATAGTTATAATTATGTATATTTACATGATAAGTAAAGTATAATTTTACCGGATACCCATTGAAAAAATTCATAATCTATGTAACAATTGTACACGCACTTTACATGACCATGTTGTACCTCAGTGTTTAATTATTATTAGCAAAAAAGGAAAAAATTTACTTAGAGCCCGTCTGAATAGTTATTTTTATAAATATATTGTAACGATTTGACATATATGAGGTAAAAATATGATTAAGAAACATGTTCTCAAAAAACATAAAAACTTTTCTATGAAATCTACAATCCGATGAAACGAAGGGGAGAAAAACATAAAAATCGACTTATTTGGGAGTTTTTTAGGTGTGAAAAGTAAAATATAGCGGCTATCTGACGAATATTTTAATACTACAGTTCATTAAAAAAAAAAAAAATTTCCCCCAAAGATGATTGGAAAATGACGGAAATCTCCTTGCGGCTTAATAAAATTTTTTAAAATTCCAACTCTATCTTTAAATGTCTATTCAACAAAATTTATATACACGTAAGCATTTAATACTTTTGCCAACTCCACCCCACCTATCAACCTCTTAAATCTAAGTTAATCTTAAGCTGACGTGTGACTGCTACACCTGTTGGCCAACTGAGTACTGACCCTTGTGAGTTCTTCGGACAAACTCTCGCGTCCCCTCGCAGAATGACGAAGCTTCTGTTTTTGGATCGTACCCCACCTTTTAAATCCAAACCAACCCATTTCCTGTTCTTCTTTATTGTCCCAACTAGTTTTTTCATCTTTTTTTCCTTTCTTTCTTCGTTTTTCCTCCCACTAATGCTAGGGGCTAGTACCAAAAAATAAACATTATTCCCTTCTTAAAGCCCCTAGAGCTAGAACTTTTATTTATTTTTATTTTAAAAAATTCCATTTTTTAACTTCCCAAGAAAAGCATAATAAATAAATAAATAAACTTCCCAAGAAAAGCCCTTTGGTCAATAGTGTTTTTTATCAACCTTTTTGTAGTTTCTTTTGAATACAAAAATTCTTTTAATTATTATTTTACTTGTATCATAAATACAAATTTTCAATCATATTTTTATATTCTTAACTACTATCTTTTTTTTTATCTTGCATACATTATATTACAAAAAAAATATTACAGTAATTATTTTAAATAATACTTTATCTAAACATATATTAATTTTTTTCTTTCCTTTTCTATTACTCATAATTTATTACTCCTACTTGGAGATGTACTTCCTCTAAAGCCCCTAGAATCTCCACAAGTGTATTCCAAAAAAACCATTTTTGACAGTTTGGCAAGAACGCATGTCTTTGGTTTATTTTTCGGATAATTTCATGAACCTCTACTGGGATTTCTGACAATTTCACTTAGCGTTCCTAAGATTTGATAAATTACACCTATCTCTCTTACCTATTTAAAATAACAATACTAACATTAATATTTTAATAAAACTCTCTTGTTGTCATGATTATACAAAAAGATGGATTTTATAGTTTTTTTCCTTTCCTTCTTATTCATTTCTCTTATATCTCATTAGAACTATAGAACAACTATTAACATTGTCTCTAACCTTTGCCTTGATAAAATATTAAACTAGTAATATTTTTTGATAATTTTTAAAATAAAATTTTTTGTGACTCTTTTTTTGGGTATCTAAATCAATGAGAAATCAACAATAACTAAAGACAAATGTCCAGGATCACTACCAAACTATGGTAGTTCCATCACAGAACTAGTCCATCAAATTTTCTTAAAAAAAAGTCCATAAATTTTAAAAATAAGATAACAATCTCTTTTCTATCTTAAAAGGAATTTATATCTTTAATAAAGCACCATGAAAAGTAGCAAAAGATTTATTATTATAGTTGATTATGAAACAACAAATATTAGCATAAAACATTTGATACTAATTCCTTTTATAATTACGCCAAATTACTTTATAATTATTTAGAAGAATAAATTAAAATTTATATAAGATAATGGCATTTTAGGGTATTCATTAAATTTTTGACCCTATTTCAAGGTTTGTTTACCAAAATGCCAAATTAAAGAAGGTAAGTGCAATTTTTAAAAATTTGAGAGAACTAAATGAATTAGTCAGAAATTTTAGGGGAGGTTTTTGAAATCATCTCTTTATTTTTTTAAACCATCAAACATACCAGTTTCTTGGAGGGACAAAATAAAAATTTTTTAAAAAAGAAGAAAGATGGGTTATATTTGATGGTAAAGACCGCTATACCACACTGAGGGATCATATTTAGTGTGTAAATGATTTGTACGAGTGGCACATCCGAATAATGAAATAATGTAACAAGGAATATTCTTTGCATACTCACGCCACCCCCTCCTTTTTCTCCCGTCTTAATCTTGGAGGTTTCTTGCCGTTCCAGCTCTTAAATGTAAGCATTTGATTTTTATTTGAAATCTTGCCAAGATTTTTGAGCTGGTTTTCAAATTCGATCCCTTTCAATCATTGGTTTTCTTGGTTTTTTAACGGTCAGTTTGCATATTATATTTGAACAATCTTGTTGGTTTTCTGTTAATAGTTGTTTCAATTTGATGTCCTCTCCCCGTTATGCAAGATCAGTTTCTTCTGTATACTTTTCTTGATCATTTCATTGGGGTTCTTAGATTATAGTCTGTGTTTGATTTGCGTAATCCGGTACTTTTCAATTTCATTTGTTAGTCTAAGAAAGGGGAAGAATGATAGGGAGGGAGATAAAAGGGAAAGAATTTATAGCTTTTGATATTGTTTTGTAGGAGACTTGGTGGTTTAATAATTATTTGATCCATGGATTTTATTTCAAAATCAAAAAGATCTTATCTTGTCGGGTTGAGAAATTTGGATTTCGATTTGTGATGGATTGTTAAGTTGGAAATTCAATTTCTGGAAAAGATGAAAGCTGTAGGAAAAGTAGGCAGCTTTTTAAGTAGAAGTGTGTATACTGTGTCTGGACCATTTCATCCATTTGGTGGTGCGGTAGATATAATCGTGGTGGAACAGCAAGATGGGAGCTTTAAATCATCACCTTGGTATGTTCGTTTTGGCAAATTTCAAGGGGTCCTAAAGGCAAAAGAGAAGGTGGTAGGCATTAACGTTAATGGGGTTGAAGCAGATTTTCACATGTATTTGGATCATAAAGGGGAAGCATACTTTCTCAAAGAGGTTGATGTTGGAGAAGAAGATACTTTGCCTTCCCCTTCATCTTCGGGTGAGGATACTGATGGACAATCTAATGATAGAAGGGCTCTAGAAGCAAAAAGTTGTAATTTTGATGCTTATCAGTCAGAGTCAGTTACTGAGATTGATTTAGGTAATCGGAATGTCATATCAAGGACCAATTCTCGACGATCTCGTATTTTGGGATTTGTTTTTGGGAGGAAGTCGATTAAAAAGGGCAATTTGCCAAAGGATGAAGATGTTGCTGGTGTTGTTAGGTCGGAGTCATTGGAACGAGCTGAGATTGCAGCAGATCTCTTGGAGGTTAAGTGGTCTACCAATCTTGCCTCCCCTAGGCGGAGGAAAGATAGTGCTTCACGGCCATCTTCTCAAGTTAAATCAGAGGCTAGTGATTGTAAGCTATTGATGACTCAGGATAGAGATAACAATGTGGAATCTCTTGCCAATGGCAATAATCTGACTGATAGCATCTTGCTGAATGAATTTAGTTCTGCCAATGGTGAAGAAGGCTGTAGACTTAAACGTATGCCCACAAAATCAGAGAGGCCAGTTGTGGAAACTGGTTTAGAGATGTCATGTATAACAGCAGAAGATGTGATTGGAACATCTTCTGTTGAAGTTGATGAGCCCAATTTGAGATTGGCAACCAAGACTGATAACATATTGGCAAATGATACAGGTGCAAGTGCAAGCTTGATTGATGTCATCTCTGACATTGCTAGTAATGAATCCAAAATTCAAGACTCAGTTAACCTTGAAGACTGTCCCGGCAATAACGAGACGCAGGGTAGTTTCAGTAACGCAGGTTTTGCAACAGATGGGAATAGAGATGACCCATCTTTTCTTTACTGTGAAACTTCAGTGAGCTCAACTTTGGAGTTGGATGATTCAAACAAACAGGGTCATGGTGCTCTGCATCTTTCCAGCGGAGGATCTGAACATGTCTTTGCTGAAACAGTGCAGACAACTGGTTTGGTCTGTGAGGGGAACTCTAAACCTTCAAGTGATGCAAATGCAAATGAAACTTCAAGTTCTCAAGAGCTTTTGGAAAACCAAAGTGATTGTTTTTTCTCCATTGATGAGAAGACAACTTCATCACGCTCCATGGAGAATGGTGTACTCACTGGAACCTACTCACAAATGATCACTCTCCAACCTGTATATGCTTCTGCTGAGGACATTGAGTCACCACGCATTTTTACCATCTCTACTTCTCAAGCTGTTGTTGAAAAAACTCTTTGTGGAGAAGATCAAATCAGCAAGTGTGAGCCCCCTGTCAAGCGTGTAGTTGATCCTATCCAACTAAACATTTTAACATCAGAAATTTCAGAAGAAGAGCAATTGCTTTTTGGTGACTTTGATGATTTCACCCCTAGTTCAGTCAGACATCTAGAGGAGCCTATTTCTCCAGATTATAATGAGAAAGAAGGTGATCCACCATGTTTGCAGGTACAAACTGAAGAAGTAAATGACTCTTTCATTCCTGGTACCATGCTCGGCTCATCAGAAAACAAGTCTTTTCAGGTGAAACTGTCAGATGATAACTTAAGTAGGAAGTTGAGAACTGTATCCAGCCATATTGATATTCCTGCAACTAGTATCCAGTCTAAAGAAGTTTCCAGGATTGCAAGATCTTTACCCAACATGCTGGCACATAACAATAATATTCTGAGTAATGCAAACAAAGACGAAGTGAATGATATCCAATCATCTAAAAGTGAGCAGGTGGCCAAAGATACTAAGAGCATAGAGGAGCTGAAAAATGAAATGACCAATCCAGCTATTGGTGTGTACAATTTTCTGTTGAAACTTTTCTATGTTTCTGGTGGCTGGCATTGATGAGATAAATAGTTTCAATGCAATAATTTGTTGCCATTGATATGGGATGATTTGATCTGTCATTTTCTATTTCCACTTTATAATGTTTTCCTGGTACAGTTGACGAATTACATGCAATTGTTTGCATTTGTGTTAGTTAAAAGCAAATGGTATTATATGAGTGCAGATTCTACGTAGTTATGCTTATCATAACTCAACTTGCAGACAGTTGTTAAGATGACTTTCTTACAATTATGATGTACAATGCTGAAGTTTGGCTTGCTAAAGCAAATATGAATAAGTATATCCCTTGCAATGGGCTAAGTTTATTTCTCCATGGGAATTTCTTATTGAAGTTGATCTTATTTTCAATGTGAACAATACTGCAAGATTTCTGTGGGTGAATTTAAATACATGCTGGGAATTTGAAAATTTGGGTTTATCCTTTTAAAAAAACAAGAAGCATGAAAGGTCCCCTGTTGATTTCAAATTCTGACCCAAAGTTCTGATTCTCTAGATATTACAAAGAGAAAGATTGGCATTGAAGATGGAGAGGATTTGCCTAAAAGGAAGGTAACCAAGAAGAAGACCAGGTTAATCACTCCAACATCTGAACAATTAGCATCTTTGAATTTGAAGGGAGGGAGGAACTCAATAGTGTTCACATTCTCAACTCCAATGCTTGGGAAACAACAGGTTGTTTTCTATTCTTTTCATCAGGAAATTCACACTTTTTGTCAGGATTCTTTGTTGTTCTTCTTCTAGAACTGCTATTTCTCTCTCTCTTTATCTAATCTTTGGCTTATCTATTATTATATGTAAAAGGCCACACAGAATTTTAGATAAAATCTGCCTATTTAACTGCCAATTTAGTTGTAGCTTTGTATATCTGTACTATTATAGCAGCCACTTTCTTGTAGTATGTATGTGCATCTGCTTGCATGTATACTTATTTACTACCCATGATATGCAGGTTGATGCCCGGATTTATTTGTGGAAATGGGACACTCGTGTTGTGATATCTGATGTCGATGGGACAATCACCAGGTAATCTTGACCCATTTATGGGGGTTGGTTGCTTTCTCAGTTCCGCAGGTTTGTTGAGACCATCTGGTTATTCTTTTAGAGTGTGAAACCAAAGTATTGTCTAGTCATACATATTCTAGAGGGAAGCATACTAAAACCTAATCGATTAAGATTGCATAGCTAAAATAATAGAAAGATAATCGGGCAGTTGGATACTTATGCTCAACTACCAATAATAGGGCAGAGATTTAAGATTCATGTAAAAATTTGGATCATATTTAGTTGGGGGTAATGTGCTACACGTCATGTAAACATGAAGGAAAGTATACATAGCTCAGAATAAGGTCAATTTTGTTAGGTCCAACCTAGTCATTGACAGATTACGATGTAGGCAGTAAGAATGTTATATTGGATGTTCTGTATACAAGAAAAGCTAAATCCAGTAATTTCTTATAATTTTCTGGTAGTAATACTACCTAGACAAGATAAATTGGAGGATATGGGTTATTACGGTTTGGGCATATTTTAAGGAGTTTCTAGAATGAGTTATTGGGCAAAAAGTAAAGGTAGGGTGGAGTGCAGTGATTAGACAATATACTATGGTACATCATGGACAGGATGTTCTTAAGTTCAACAAAATTGAAACTTGTTCTGTCAACAATCTGGATGAGATGAGGCTTAATTATTCCAAGATCTCTATAATTTAACAGGGCAGTTCTCATCTGTAAAACTACCACTGTATTAATCACTTCCACTTACAATGGAAGTTCCAATCCAGATTTGAGACTGAAGATAATTGTTAATGCAACTATAATTTGATTATTTTAACTGGCTACTAGATTGGTTGTGGAAAGAAGTATATTGATGCTTGGCTTCACTTTAAATGCAGAACAAAGACATATTTTCTTGGAAAGGAAATTTTAGTATCTAATGATTATTTTGGGTTTTGGATGTCGTAAGATATGTTCCCATAGGTCCTCAGATGTTTTGTTTGGCACAACAAATCTTTCCCCAGGCTAAAATAACTATTCTTGCTTTAGAAATTAAATGCGATCACAGTGATGATGTGATTAAGTGCAGTTTTGCTTCTTAGTAATTGAACAAAGATTGAAGATGGGCAATTTCTCCTCTGTACTTGAGGATGTTCCTTTTTATAGTGATTCCTTGTTTGATGTAGTAACAAGAGCTACAAATTTTAGGTAAAAAACAGTGGATTGATGGTCTAGTAGAGTAAACGGAAAGGTGGGAACGCATCTTCGAATAAGGAAGGGAGAATTTTATTCCTCATCACCACCAAAGCGAACAGAAAATAACTAGAATATATATATATATTACAGATGCATGCATGAGAGGATAATTTTATGTAATGTTTCCTTATCGTCATAGCTGATGCTTGTCCTTTCTTATGGGTAAGCTCCCACTCTGTGAGTTGCTAATTCAGTAAGTTCAGAATAGGTTTTATGTGATTCAGGCTTTCTTCATTCTTCTTTTTTGGTAAGACCTTTACTTAGATCAATCAAAAGAAGGATGCAGTTTTCCCTTAGGCTTTTCTAATTCCTATTTTCTGTTCCAATTGTGCAGATCTGATCTTCTGGGACAGTTTATGCCCTTGGTTGGAGTAGATTGGTCACAAACTGGTGTTGCACATCTCTTTTCAGCAATCAAGGTCTGTCATACAGTTTTGTTTTAGTATGGTCTCCCTTAAAATGGAAATAAGTAATGAAATAGAAGAATCAACTGATTGGAGGTTTCTGAATCATTTTCATCTTCTTCTTCTTCTTCATTTTTTTTTTCATCTTAGTTCCTTTTCCATGTTTCTTCAGCTAAAAGAACCTTTTTGTACATGTCTTGGGTTTAAATGAGAGAAGTTTCTGGAAAACCGATGACTGTTGTCTGCCTAATCTCTCCTGACTTGAAAATAAACCAAAAAAGTTTGGGTAGAGATGGATCTAAGTGTTGGCTAGGTAAACAACCTGTAGTAAGTGGGGATGATAATTATTCTTATGCAATTGGCTTTTTCATGTTTACATGCTGCAGGAGAATGGATATCAATTACTTTTTCTTAGTGCACGTGCAATATCTCAGGCTTACAATACCAGGCAGTTTTTATTGAATCTCAAGCAGGTGAGTGATAGAGATTTGTGGATGTAATATTTTCTACACACACACACACTCTTAACAAGTAACCTAGATGTATCTTTTCCCTTTCTCTTTAAGTTTGTTTACATAGAGTTGCAGAATGGCACTGTAAAAATAAGTTTCATGGTTTCTTCATCTTCCTTTAAGTTTGTATCGTGCTCATTTATATGCAGGATGGAAAAGTCTTGCCTGAGGGACCTGTTGTTATTTCCCCAGATGGTCTTTTTCCTTCTCTCTACCGAGAAGGTCTGTAGTTAACTCATCTTGTCATTGAATACCTTTACAAATTGCCATTTATGAAAAAGTGCAACTTAATTCCCCGCAATGATCTTTGGAAAAATCTGTACACTACTGTAGACTCAGATATGTGCTTGTGTAAGGTATTCCTACGGGTAATTTTGTGGTTTGCTTTTGTTTGCTAATAGTGGACCTTTGTAGGCCAAAAGCAAATCTTTATCTGGTGCCACCATTCTTTTTGAATGGCCAATCTTCTAAACCTTTGCCACCAATATTATTGGCTCACTTTTTCCTCTTTCCTCCATAAACACTTTTCTACTCTTTCTTCATGGGAATATTGATTTGGATGGGATTGGTTTCAGACCATGAAATCTTGGTTTTGTTATCTGCTGAATTAGTTTCTAATTTCCAGTGCGTTTGTCCTTGTTGTTTATGTTGTAGTTTTTCTTTTTCCACTGTGTACTTCAAGAATTTTTGCATGAGCGAAAACCCTCATTTTAATTCTTAAAGCCCTGTGCAAAATGATCCCTTTTTTTTTTACCATCTTTCCTCCAAATTTTTAGTTTCCCATATTTCCTTTCACTGGAGTGTTGGCCATCTCTTTGCTCTATACTCATTGAAGGGCCATTTTTCCAGTCTATTGACGGGTTTACCATAACATTGGTTACCAATTCACTTTCCTCAGTATGTTATTGTTTAATTGCACAAGAACAAGAATTTGTCACTTTAGATATTAGATATTAAACCAAGGCAGTGGGAAGGAAGTCTTGCATGGAATCAATTAGCATCCTGTCTCTTTATGCAGCTTGATTATCACATACTACTCTTCTAACATAAATTGAAAGTGTAAATGAGCTCATTTTCTGTCGCATCATTAGTTATGAAACCCTCATATAGTTAATAGTATGTTACATGAGCTTTCTTGTTCTAAGGAAAACCTCGGAGAATTACAATAACTCTCTTGGGTATGGTTGAGCTGTGTCATTTAAGAATTTTTGTGGTTTGCTGTTTTGCAGTTGTAAGAAGAGCACCGCATGAATTTAAAATTGCTTGCTTGGAGGTTTGTCACTTAATTTTCTACTTTCTTGTCCATTGTTGTATCAAATAACTATTCAAGATTTGTGCTTCTTTTTTGTTTTATTGCATTTTAGGCTATTTCATACCATAGTTATCAGATGTGGCATTATTTGAGATTGAATTATAATCGAACCAACTTTTCATTGTTAAGACTTCAGCAGAAAAAACCAAGCGTGTCCTGTAATAACTGAAAACAGAAAATATATGTGGTGACTATTGACTACTACTGAAAACAGAAATTAGGTATAAGTATGTCCTTTGCAGCCATCTACTTTTAATTGTCCTTTTTATCTTCTTCATGACAAGTAATTATCCTTTTGCAAGTTCATAATTTTCCATGAAGGGTCCTGATTACTCTATAATCAGTTTAAGGGAATCTAGATGTTTTCTCAATCTGAGTTCAGAATTCTCCATTGAACTTTTGCAATGGATTTTTCATCAAGTCAATACTCCTCCACTTAATCAAAATGGTCCATTGGAGGTCAGTGCACCATTTACTTAGTTTAAGTGCGGTTCATTCAGTAAGTGGCACTGATATGTTCAAGTGATCATGATTCTCAACATTTGGCTGCATGAAACACAACTTATCTCGGTAAAAATACCCCAGTTCAAAAGATTTCTTCAGTTGGTAGCTTACAGCTATAAAAAAAAAATAAAAAATCAAAGCTCAGTTTCCTTTTGGTGACTTGTTTTTTAATTGGATAGAAAGATCACTTTGATAACTTTTATGTTTCCAGGAAATCAAAGCATTGTTTCCTCCCGATAGAATCCCTTTCTATGCTGGTTTTGGAAACAGAGATACAGATGAGATTAGCTACCTTAAAGTTGGTATCCCCAAAGGAAAAATCTTCATAATTAATCCTAAGGTATGGCTTAGAACCTGACTAACTAATTTAAAAAGGGAATGCAGTATAAAATTCTGGATAATGTTTATGGTGCTTCCGTCCTTACAGGGTGAGATTGTCGTAAATCGGCGTGTCGACACAAAGTCATATACTTCTCTACATGCTCTTGTGCATGACATGTTTCCACCCATGTCTTCATCTGAACAGGTATTAGATGCTGTTTTGCAATATTAATTTTTAAATGAAAAGGAAAAGTCAAAAAGAGACAAGCAACCTGTTAATTTGTGTGATTGATAAGTTACATTATGCAGTTATTCTCATCGTTGTGCCAATTGTACAATGATAAGTTAACGTTCTGCTGCATGTTTCATTAGTGCTATCATCTGATTTTTCTTTGTTTTCCTGGATTCCATTCTTGCTGCCTGATGTATTTGCTCTATGTAACTTGTCTAATTCCTTTGAGCTCCCAAGGGGTTATCTTCTTGAATGTGAATCAAGTTTTTGCTCGCTTGGATTTCAGGAGGACTATAACTCATGGAACTATTGGAAACTTCCACCTCCAGCTTTTGATATTTGAAGGTTAAAGGGAGTAAACCACGAATTGTCTTTTGAACCATGAAAAGGAGCAGTTTTTTGGGGTTTTCAGTAATCTGTTACCAGGTTAGCTTTGGTTCAAGCTTTATTTCAGTTGTTAAGCTATTTCTATTGCTTTCTGGCTGCATATAGATTTCTTAGTTTCGAGGTCTGATAGAAGATGAATTTCAACCTGTTGCTAAGAAGTACTTTTTCTGTGTTGTAGTGTATATAGATAAAGGAGTGTTTAAGAACCTTAAAGTGCAGCGTAATGGGTTGCAGTCTTCTCTGATAATTTGCTGCTTAATTTGAATGGCCTCTTAGCCAAGAAAACTGGTTTACTGGATGATTTTGCTCTCCACTCTATTTTTTCTGTGATGGAGGGTAACATGCATGATTCCTCATGAGAATAGACATGGAGACAATTTCCTCCCTGTTTGTATTTACTTGTCCATGATGGGCTGATATCTTGCGAAGCTGTATGGAGCTCACGAATTCTTCCCAGAGAACCAGATAAGATAAATCAGTTTCTGCTGATATTCCACTTACCTCTGTACGACTGCCAATTTGTTGTCAACAAATAGAGTATATGCACAGTTTTGAGAAGATAAAGAGTACATATACGTAATCCTGCTTCAGAACATGTCAAAAAATTTTTGTTGTTATATAGTTCGTTCATGTAATAACTTCAAAACTACGACATTTTTTTTTTCTGAAGTATTTGCTGTTTATACGAGGTAGCTTGTAAATTTTCTGGGCCTGCGTCCCCTGATAAACATCCTCCTAGCCATTTGTGTCTTCCTTTTATCAAATTTTTGCATTTCCTGTCCAAGCTTATCGGTAATCTCCCGGACATGACTGATCTTTCTAAGGAAAAACTTGGTATAAAGCATGATTTGGGAATAAAAGTGTTGGTGATGTTGCCTGGTATGTGGTAACCATGGAAGAGCATCTGATGCTGATGGATTAAATTATGTCTTGCATGTTGTGCTATATTTAACGTGGGAATCTTGTTCCAAGTGGTTGTCTATTGATTTTATGTTTGCTAGTCAATTGAATTTCATGCTTTTTGGCATCCCCACCTGATTATTTTGTGCGTATCCTTGCAAGTTCTTTTGAACGGGAAGACTAATACCCTACCCCCATGCCCATCCCTGGGGACATGGCGATATGCTACTACCATTTGGCATTGTATGCCTTCAACTGCAGCAATGGGGGATCCCCACCTCAAATTCGGGAAGTCACATCGGCAAGTGGCTAGGATGGGAGGTTCTCATTCAGAATCCCCCACGTTAGCAACCATACGTGGTGGATAACATGGAACAGATCCTTTCTTCCTTTATTCCTGTGTAGAAAGATATGCACGTTAAGAGGTTCATGATATCAAGAATCCCAGAATAAATCAGTTTCTGTGTTCCAATGCCATGCTTGATTAAAGCTGGTGCTTGCAGCCTTGCGGAAACAACAATTGCAGCATAAAGCTCTAGAAAATCTAGCAAGGAATGTAGTTTTACTAGCTAAAATATGACCTTCTTGTCATGGAACAAAGAATAATGAAAAAAAAAATTAGTTACACAAGGGCAAGGCATTAACATTGAAAAACCCATCATTTTCTATTTTCGTTATGTCCAAGAGGCAACTAATTTTATAGCTATAATGTGGTTATGGAATAGCTTCCACAGTCATCAGTTCATGTTTGAGGTTTTGTTACCAATTATCCCATCTTTTGTTGTGGGTCAGTGTCCAATTGTGTGTGAATCATTGTAGTCTTTGCCTTTACCGACCAGAAGGTAAAAAAGTTACAGATGCTCATCGGTGAGAAAAGGGCTCTTGATCAAATGTTTGAACAAGGAAAATTGTCTTGATTCCAAGGGCGGAGCAACACGGAGGGGCCAAGCCGCCCCCGCCCCCGCCCCCATGTGTCAGCAAAACTCATTCATTACTAGAGGAAAATATTAAGATTTTTCATTTAGAACCACTCTTTTGCCTCCCATCCCCATTAAAATTCTAGAAAAAGTTCATAGCCCCCCTCCATTTAACATTTGCCTTAGAAAAATGTAAACTTCTTTAAAAAAAAAAATTTCATACTGCTATTTAATTTGTTGATCTATAGAACTTAAATTCTTATTGAATGCTTTAATACTACATATTATCTCTTCAAGATTTATATACTGCCTCCAAAAAAAAAAAAAAAAAAATCTTTATAAAGATGTACAATGAACACTTATAGTTAGTTGGCATTTCCATTTGTGTACTTTGAACTAGAACTTTGCAATAGTTTAGAGTCTACAACTTGGTATTAAAGTGCAGAGAGAAGATAGAGATATGAGTCATATAAATTTGATTTAGTAACACCTATATTCTTATCCATTAATTTTAGTACTGCTTTGTTAGAACAATCTTGATCATAAACAACTTCTTGTTATAGAATTTTGGTTTAAGATATTTTACTTTGAATTGTAGCTAAATGTTAAGATTGAATCATCAAGTCAAAAGAAAAGGGAAAATTAACATAAAATTCATAGTTTTCAAAATCAAATCGTAAAAAAGAAAAAAAAAAAGGATTTTCCTACACTTATAGCCGTTCCCCCTCCCCCTTCCCCCAACCCAAAATTCTCGACTCCGCCATAGTTGATTCACCAGAGTAGATGCAGACCTGATCATGACCGTATCCTAGCTAGAGGAATGAACATGACAAGATGAAATTAAAGCACCACTTAGGAGACAATTACGCATTTAATTTTTCACCTCGAAAATTCTGTGTTTATGACATGTGGATCTCTAACCCTGGATTCATCCTCGTCCATAAATTACCTGTACAATCTCTGGTTTCGCTCTGAATTTGATAAATATTATGCGGTTGAAGGGCTCAAAACCATGCTCGGGTTTCATTTGGTACAACTTATAATGGTTTAGGTCGGTACAATTTTACATGGGATGATGCTCTTTTTCCCAAATGTTTATGTTTGATTTAGCCAAAATCATTCATATACAGTCTCGATCATTTAGTGATTTGAACATCGGCACGAATAGCTTATCTTACGTGCGAGAAAAAACAATCTCAAATATTATTTGATCTGCAAAAGTAAAGCATACAAACATATGTCAAAGGCCAAAAGGCTACATGACAGGATAGTTAAAACTTAAAAGGATGATGGAAGCAAGCATTAGCAGCTTTAAGCCTTCAATTAATACGTCACAATTCTAATACCAAGGTGCTTTAGGGCAAAGTCTTTAAGGTTGTCGATTTCGTTTTCTTCGATGAATCCGGTGCCATCCAAATCTGCAGCCCTGATTCCATCTTTGCATTTCCATTTTGTAAACCAGCCTCCCATTTCTCGGACGGCCTGCCGAAGTTCATCCAGGCTAATTCGACCATCTTTGTCAGTATCGAACTTCTTTAACCATTTCCTGAACTCTTCTGGATTCATTTGAAGCTTGCCATCAGTCGAGACATAGCGAGGATAAGAGTTCTTGATTGGCATTGAATTTGTACCTCAAATAGATGTACTATAGTGCTGAGCGCAAGTGCTTAACTTCACACTCTACACACACTCACACACTAGGATATGGCGAAAGAGATTGTGAAATAGTCCTATATTTATAGAGGCACCTCGACTTAGGCTCCCACCACCAAGAGCGTGATTCACGACATGCATTGTGGTTCGACAGAATTTTATTTGTAATCATTACTTTCCTTCAGAATAAGAATCAAGTTATAGTGGCCTAAAAGCGTCTAACACAAGATGAAACGCAATTGTTTGATACAAAATGGTTGGCTAAGATGTAATTTACTTTTAGGTTTTGATTAAAGTCTAATATAGAGTAGGGAAAATAAGGATCTTTGATTAAATTTTCGACATCCTTTTACTTTAGATCACGTCCTTATAGAACAAATTTTAGAAAGCAGTACAGTAGTATACACTTTTTTTTTAAGCGAGATAAAAAAAAAAGCTTAAACAATATATTGAGCGTTTTTCTGAAATAAATTCTAAACACACAGCCATCCCAACATATGTGCCATCTTTGAAGTGATATATATATATATATATATATATATATATATATTTCACATTTGCTTTGACAAAATTTTCTAACCTACCTCGAAGATTTTTCTTTTTGTTTGATTTTTTTGGCACGTACCATTTATCTCAAAGAGTTAAAGCTAGCATGGTAGAAATGGATTAGCAAAACTATGGAACGTACAAGATTTCTTTTTGTATCCTTTATCCGTTCACCCTTTCAGTCGCTATAGCTTTTGTTAAAGATTCCAAATTGTAATGATATGGCCAATACTACAAATAATTATTAGGTGAAAGTTACCACTACTAATTTTAAGAATTAAATCCACACCCTTATATTATAATTAAGAATTCGTACATGTTGCAATACCATACTATAAATCATCAATGTATTCAAGATGTAGTTTGAACACTATATATATTATTTAATTACCTATTTTCTCTCTTCTAGGCAGTATTCCAAGTTGTTTTTTCCATCCCTCGCAAACGATTTGTTCCTTCTGTCTAATCCTAAACTCTCCTCCTCCTCTCTAATTTTTTTTGTTATCCCTTTTAAACAAAACATCTTCTTTCCTTCACATCTCTTCCTCGCATGTCCTTTTTCTTTGTTTTTGTGTTTGTAATAAAATATCTCCTAGAATTTTTTAATGAGAGTTTCTTATCTCCTAAGACTTCTTGTTGAGAGTTTTATCCTCTCCTACAGATTCCTAATGAGAGTTTTGTTAGTTATTATATTTGTATTATTCATCTAAGTTTTCATAGACTTGGTTGTCAGATTGGGATTCTTTACATCTAGTTTGTTAAATCTCACATTAACATTTGGACTTGAATCAGTTCACTAGGAGATCTGGAAGAAAGTAAACATTGTGACTATAAACATTTTATTTTTATAGATGATCTTGGGACTATAAACATTTTATTTATTATTTATTTTTCAAGTTTTACAGTGTAATATTCTCTTAATTTTTCAAATCTATAGTATCTAATTTTGTTCTTTAAATCTGTTTGTATCATCTGTGTATGATTCATGTAATTTCTACAATTAGTGCAGATTTAATAAATGATAATAATATTTTTATCAAAAAGGTAGCATGCTTAATTGAAGAGAACTGATCTATCATTTGGCTACCTGAATTTAACCTATATTTGCATCCAATTTTTCTCTAACCAATTCTTCTCATTGTTTCTCCCTCTTTTAATAACTTAATACTTTTCAATAAATTTAAATTATATTTTATTATGGCTTCTATCTCTTCTAACAAACTTTATTTTTATTTATAAATTCACATAATTTATTTTATCCATATCTATTAAATTTATTTGGTGTTATTTTAATTTTTACTTCATTAAAGTTAGTAGAACTTAATATTCGTTCATGGAAAAATATATGGATTAATCTTTCCTACATTGACAGTGTATATACTATCAGTTTTGGATAAATGGCAATTATACAAAATTTGAATTTGAAATTCAACTTTTGCACATATGTCATGAATTAAACGGTAATAGTATATATACTGTCAATGCATATAAGATTTACTCAAAATATAGTTTTGCATCTTTGTTATTTAATAATTAATTAAAAATAATATGGTACATAAACACTTAAATAACAAGTAAACCTTTTTCTTCTTAACAAGTGAGGGATGAGATTTAAGAAACAAGGAGGGAATTGGAGATTTGAATCTGGGGCTTTTAAATCCTAGTGTCTCAATTTCTATAGCATGTAAACCTTAAATTACCTTTTGCTTTCAATAATAATTAGAAGGAGAAATCTAGCCAAATTAGCAACTTGGACCCATGATAATTTATACATTAGCAAACTAATATCTCCATCACTAGTTGCAAAACCATACAGGAATTTGTTATCACAAGTACGACTAGTTCACACAGTAGCCAAATACATGCAACCCACTAGGCTTAGCAAAACATACCTAGGATACTTCAAAGGTAGCGATAAAAAGGATCCCTTTACTAAACTATTCGATTCGAAAACATGCACAAGACGAAGATTTATCGGCTTAAGACGTTACAATTTTGATACCAAGATGCTTGAGAGCAAATTCCTTGAGGTAGATCATCTCGTCATCCTCGATGAATCCATTCCGGTTCTTGTCTGCTGCCTTCATTCCACTCTTATATTTCCACCTTGTAAACCACACTCCCTTTGCACGCATAGCTTCCCTGAGCTCTTCTTTGCTAATCCGGCCATCTTTATTGCTATCAAATTTTTTAAGCCATTTCTTGAACTCTTCTGAAGTCATGATTTGATGTTTGCCTTTGAAATCGCGAGGTTTGTCTTGGTCTATGATTGCCATTAATATTCTATCTCAAATTATCTGCTAACTCTACACTGGGGTAGGCAAAGGTGACTGAAATAGTCCTATATTTATAGAACTACTCGACTTAAAGCTTGTAAAGTTGCGTTGGTAATACTTTAAAATATCACTTGCATTATGATTCAAAAGAAGGTAAAGTATACCGCGACCCTTTCACGGAATAAGAATCTATCTACAGTGGTCTAAAAGCTTGACTTACAAGAGTAAATCCAATTATTGATACAGACGGTTGGCTCAGATTTTAGTGAGTTAGTTATTCGTTGACGACCTATAGAACTGGGACAAAAATGCCAAAGACGGCTTTCTTCC